GAAAGTATACCTAAGAGGGCTTCTTGCTGTAATGACAGGTTGACTGTCATGTAACACTCTCTGATTCAATCTGGCTTCACCTGTATTCATTTGTACCCACGGGTACAATTTCATACCATCCAAGGTTTCATTTGACAACAGCAGACAAATAATCTGCTAATTTCAGATATTCCAAATGCTAAGAAATTTGATGGTTAAATGTTTCTTTCACAACCTTTGCTATTTGTGAAGTACTTTTGAAACAAGTGTCAGTTCACATGAATTGCTGGCACTGAAGGATTAAAAAGCATACCTGAGGTGTCTAAAATTCTTGGTTCAAGTTTGTCCAGCTGAGGAAGTTTATCAGGAACTAACTTGGTTTGTATTGGACCCAAAGTCCACCCCCAACTCTGCGTTTAGGGTCCAATTATACTTTTATATTGAACAGTAGCCTCAAATAGCACAATGTGACTTCATGAAGCACCTGTTATTTTCTTAGGGTCATTGGATCTTGCTGCATTTGTGCCAGCTAGTATAAGGTTGTCTCTGAATTTGATCCTCTGTATTTGTACTCCACTAAAGTCCCTTGGCTTGTGTTATTGGAAAGATTCTGAAATAAGTAAAATCTTTTTGAAACCAATAGTTTAGGAAACTGATTTGACTTTCACCTCCACATATAAGGTTATTCTATAGGGGTCCACCCTGGGTAGCTGGCTAAACTAAAAGCTTACTTTTCATTATGTGATCAAGGATAGAAACCCAGGAGTTCTGATATTTTATTGCTCTGGGTATTGAACATTATATTGCCTGTACAGTGACAACAGAAAAAACTGCTTTAAGGGCACTGTTTGTGACAGACAGTATTATTTTCTCTGTCTATTAAGCAGACCCTCCAGAACACCAGCAAGCAATATAAAGACACTTTAGCAACTAATATAAATACCTATATATTTCAAAGAACTAGAATGGAAATATTTTTAGTAGTTCACTTATCCATTTTTCATTATCTTTCATTAATAAGTTCTACTTTATTGGAAACACCATATTTGGAGAAGGGGCAGATTTTTAAAATATTTTTTATTTTTATATTTTTCATTTTAAAGATGTGGAGTACAATTCAGGTTAGATATACAAATGTTCACTATGCAGGTACCCTTGTTGATGAGTTGTGCCCCTCCCTACCCTGGCAGTTTCCCTAAACTGACAATCCCACCCCCCACCCCGGCAGTTTCCCACTACTGCCACAGATTTTTTTTTTTAACATTGCAAAGCAAATAGTTGAATGATGCCTAAAAATATTGCATCCCAAATACTACTAGAGTTCTTTGCCAGATCCTGTTACCTACATTTCCAAAGGGAACATGCCTTTTATCACTGGTGAGCAGAATCTGTGAAACAAACCTGGGGAACTGCAACAAAAGATGCTAAAATGTAAGCATTGACTGAACACTGGTAGATCACACCTGTAATACCAGCATTTTGGTAGGCTAAGGCGGGAGGATAGCTTGAGGCCAGGAGTTCAAGACCAGCCTGGGTGACATAGCAGGGAGGGAAGGAAGGAAGGAAGGAAGGAAGGAAGGAAGGAAGGAAGGAAGGAAGGAAGGAAGGAAGGAAGGAAGGAAGGAAGGAAGGAAGGAAAGAGTAAACATTAAGGCAAAAAGACGCAGCAAATGAACTTATTTTGTCTGGATTTACTTCTCTCTTACTTTTTAATTTTCTGTCTGATCCTTTCTTCTCTTCTGGGAAGAAGGGAAAGAGAAACTTTTTTCTGCCTCTGAAATCTGCTAACTTGTGGCTTTTGACTTGTCAATGGCAAAACAGCCTCTGGATTCCCATTTGACCTTCAGCATGTCTGGTCTTTTACAATTCTGTACCTTCTCCTTCAGAACCAGCACTTCTCTCTCTTCTGACACCTGCTCCCTCTGCTGCCTTCTCACTGCTCCCTGCCTGAGTTTGGAATCAGGAAGCCCAAATCCAGACTTGACCCCTTTTCAGCTGTGTGGCCTATGGTTCACTCTTGTCTCCATTTCATCATCTGAAAATGGAAGTTATAATACCTAACTTGAAGGTGAAGACTCAAAAGAGATATGATGGACAATGTGCCCTGCACAGGGCCTGCATGAAGAAGCTCTTGATAGATATATATCCCCTCCTTCCTTTTTATCCAGTCGCTTGCCCTCACACCCATCCATTGATTCATTTTTCTGAAGACACTTTTGCCATGTTATTCTCTGAGCCCCAGGCTTTGACCATGAAGGTAGCAGAGTGGTTTAAGAGCTTAGACAAGGATTTCTCCTCCTTTTCTTTATTATACCCATTCCTGCCCTCAGGGAGATTTTTCAGACATTATTTTCCTAACCCCCCCACCATGGAATTTTAATACCATAGATATGTTGTCTGTTCATATACTGTGTGTATATCTGTGTTTTATACATAAAGCACAAGAACTCTCCACGAACCAATTTTTACTTTATTAGAAGCAATGTCACTCCCACTGAGAATACATGACATAGATCATGAAACCTCAATGCTAGATTTAAATCCTGCCCCCTCACTTCTCCATGCCTCGGTTTCTTCATGTCTAAAATAAGGATAATAGTAGTAGCTGCTTCATGGGGTCACTGGAGGACTACATGAGTTCTTGTTCAAAGAAGAATTAGACCATTGTCCAGGACAGACCCAGTGCTGCATAACTGTTTGCTATGATTATTCCCAAAGCTCCCCAGAGCCCACAGCAAGTGGAAGTATCTTAGCTTGGCATTCAAGGCAGATGTGGTGACATCTCCCTCAGGGCCAAAGAACAGACTTGCTTACTGCTTGCTATAAAACAGCATGTTCCCCAAGTTCAGGGTTCCTCTCCAGTAATGCACCTGCCACCACCCCCCCACCTAGCATGTGCATAGCATCTGGGCTCATGGTGTCACCTCCTGGGACTGGGGCACAAGGGAACTGATATTGTACACTGGTGCTCATGCCTGCCTTGCATAAAGTCCTGTCTTGTTATCTCCAAAGGAGGGTCAAATTGCATCCCAGATCTGACAGCCAGGTGTGGTGGGAAGGGAACAGCGCCCACCATGTACATGCAAGGCGTGTGGGGGGAAGTGGATGTGGTTTGAGCACGGTAAAAAGTAAGAAGGCACAGGCCACACTGAGGCCAAGCTTGCAAGGTCATGGACTTACACTAGGAATGAAGAGAACTCTTGGAGGATTTTAAATGGGCGGACTTGGGTTTCAAGAAGAAACTGGATGGAGAACAGCCAACGGGGTAAATGGTGAGAGGCAAGACAGAGAGGTGGGAGGTTGGAAGGGCATGGGTTTTATCCAGGCCCCAGCTGGAAGTGGACATGTGGAATGATGACCACTGAGAGGGTTACTGATGTGGAGTGGGGAAGAGTGGAACAGGAAAAGGAGGAGAGTCTTGGTCTGATTCCAGAAAGGAGCCCTCGGAGGAACAGGGAGAGAAGCAGGGAAAGGGGATGAAGGAGCCAACCACACAGAGTGGATTTTGAGAAAGGTGTTGCAGGGTGGTGTGAGAAAAGGTCAGTGTTGGAGAGTGGGCATGGGAACAGCCTGACTCTGCATGTGTACTGCAGCCTTCTGGCCAAAGAGCAGAGAAAGTTGGCCCAACATTGAGACCGGGAGGAAACAAAGAAAGGAGACTGGCAGTGGACTTCCTCTACCCTGAGCAGACCACTGAGCCTCTAGAGATGCAGTGCAGCCCCCAATTCTGTTCTGAAGTGCATGGAGGCTAAGGAGGGGTAAGGTGGGGAGTATACAGAGCACCCCCTTTCCTCAGGAGACTAGAGCTAAGGGAGTGCTGGGTGTGGACTGGATTGTGGGCAGTAAGGAGCCTTCATGGCCTTAAAGCAAGCAAGATCATTTAATGAAGTGCATTGAAGGCCTACTGTGGGCCAGGCCCTGGGAGAGGATGGATCGGAATTAGTGCCATGAGGACGGGTCAGACGGTAACGAAGCGATGGGGAGGTGGTGAGGCAGGAGCAGCTGAGATTTGCGTTACGGTCGGAAGACAGTTGCGGTCAGAGGGCAGCTGAGATTTGCGTTGTGATCAGAAGGTCAAGCTGGCCAGGCCAGCAAGCAGGAGTTGGAAAAGTCAGAGCCCAGATGGGCTCACCACAGCAAGGGAAGAAGTGGCAAGGAAACAGATCGTGAAAGGAGGCTGGGTCAGGTCTTGGGAGAAAGCCGTGCCCTCGAGTAAGTGACCTGGGCTTGACTGATGGGTACAGGGGGCCACTAAATGCTTTGAGGCAGGGAGGTGAGGGGAAATATTTGTTTGTTTATTTATTTATGTATTTATTATTTCAATAGCTTTAGGGGGTAGGAATAGTTTTTGGTTACATGGATGCATTGTATAGTGGCAAAGAAATCTTGACTTTAAGTGTACCCACTACCCCTACCTGTGCACACTTACCTGATAAATGATATTTCGTCCAAAATATTTATTGAGCATATACCAGGTGTGAGACACTCAATAGATGCTTTCAGTACCAGTGCTTTTTAAACTCAGTCATCAATCTCCTAAGAGCTTCAGGAAAATGTACATCCTAATGTAGCAGGCATAGGGCCGGGCATGAAGTGCTGTATCTTTAATAAGCTCCAGGCACCTGGGAGTACACTCTGAGGAGAAGGGCTGTCCCACATCTGATCTGCGCACCCATGCTGTCCGGTGAGTAGTGGACTCCCTTTTTTCCTGAGCCTTCGTGAGCTTTCACAGCTGCCAGAAGGCGTTCCGTTCATGAGAGCTGACTGTGCTGTGCTGACCACAACCTGCTTCCAATCCTCCACCCAGGTGGGGGCAAGTAATACAGTTTCCAAACACCTTGCTCCCTCCAGCTCCTCTGTCTGCCCCAGGCTTGGGTCTTCCAGCTTTGTCAAGTCAGTCTCCTATGGGCAGCTTCTGAGCTTGCCTGAGGCAGCATCTTAAAGACTGTCAGCCTCACAGGAAACCAGATACTATTGGCTAACTTTGCAAATAAAATGCCCTCAGAGGGAGGAAAAGGGAAATACTCGCCTCTGGCAGAGTTTGCATGGGACAGGGTGACTGATTGGCACATCCAGAGGTTCCCTTCCGGGTCCATCCCAGGTAGGTGCAGAGGACTTGTGGGGCACCTGTGGGCAGGGTGGGGAGGAGCACAGTGGTTCAAGCAGGTTAATGATGCCGGTTTGCCTTGTGTGCAGACAATAGAAACCATTTTCCTGAGGATGATGCAATCTAAATATGTTCGAGGGGGTGGAGGAGAGGGAAGCGTTGACTGATTAGATAATTTATAACACACACAACACGATGGAACAGGATTAGAAACCTCAGTAGTCATATTTTTTAAAATTTTGTTTTTAACTTGTCACTGACCTGAAACGCAAGTAACTGCATTTTTAGGGACATGGAGGAAAACTTGTGATTTGAAATTAACTGAAAAAAGCATAATATAAAATTGTATCTGGATGGTACTGAGGAATATTGGTAATTTTTAAAGATAAGAAATAATATTTAAGTTTTTTAATGGTCTTTATTTTTTATAGACTCACACTTAAATGTTTATGGGTGAAATTAAATAATCCAACAGAGACATGAAATGAGAAATAGATGAAATAGACCATGAGTTGCTAGTTTTTGAAACTGGGTAATGGGTGTAAGGGGGTTCTCTCTGCTTTTATATATGTTTGAAAACTTAATAATAAAGCATTTTTTAAATGACAGCTACATTTTAATATAAATGTCCATGTACTTAATATAAATATAAAACATATATAAAGATTAGAGAAAAGCTAAATGATTGCTGTGGTTGATTCTGGGAAGTTGGACTGTGGATAGATTTTTGGATTTTTCTTCTTCCTTTTTATTCCATGCTTTTTTGTGCTATCTACAGTTTTATAATGAGCATATATTAGATTTACAATAAAAACAATTTTAATTAATGCATTGCTGGCCCAAATTCAATGTTCAGTTTTGATATATGCTGCAATATAGCCCTTGTGAGGACAATCAGGGTCAGAAGGTTTGTGTCACTGGGAAGGTTTGTGTTCGGGATGAAGTGATGAGTGCAAGATGGGAGGAAATGCATCAGGATGTTGGAAACCCTAGTAAAGGGCTCGCTGCAGTGTATTATTTTCAGAGCTTACCTTGCATCTGACAATCATAACCTCACAGAGCTTACAGTTTCCACCTTGTGAGCTTATAGTTGAGTCCAGAGAAAGACTAAGGAATTTTAAGATTCTTTTTTTAACTTTTTACTTTTAAGATGTGGGGTATAATTCATGGTTAGGTACAAATGCTCATTATGCAAGTACCCTTTTTGATGAGGTGTGCCCCCCATCTCCTGGCATTTTCCCACTACTGTCAATTCTGCCCTCCCCCCCCCCCCCCCCCCCCCCC